ATAGGCTCACCTTAGGAGGGCCTGAATTAAAACATAAGGAGAGTGGTGCGAATAATGGCAGTACTCTGAGGGTGAAGCTAACTGACTAACAATGAAATGCCAAGAGCAGTGGAACACACCTGTAAGTCCAGCATTCTAGGAGGCTGAGGCAGGAGGTTGCCAGTTTGAGCCCATCCTGGGCAATTTAGCCACTTAGCAAGACTCTGTCTTAAGTTTTTAAAAAAGGGCTGGGAATGTAGCTCAGTGTGAAGGTCTTGGGTTCAATCCCCAGTACTGCCAAAAAAACAACAAAATACTAAAAACTCCAAAACCCAAAACAAACAACCAATCAAACAAGTAAACAAAAAATAGCACAACCCACTTTTTCTTATATATTTTAATCTGAGCAACTTCTTTCCAGTTAGTTTCAAGTCTCCCCTTATATAAGTAATTAATTAGAAAGAAAAAGACTTCAGAGTTACTCAAGGAGGCAAAATTAGTTAACTTGATTCTTTTTTGTGATAGAAATTCCCAGCACTACCAAGTTTTCAAAGTACACTGGGAAAACACTCATTGTTAAACTTGTTTTTTATTACTCCAGATTCAGTTACTATTATGTAATAAGGTGGTTAGAACTTATTTATTGAATATCAAATAATGAGATATTTATTTGATAATGATAATCTTTTAAAAATGATTCCACTTTTTAATAAAAACTATATACTTATACTAATCTCAGACCAATAAATATTTTTGTGTGGTGCTGAGGATTGAACCAAAGGCCTTACATACTCAGCGTATGCTTAACCATTCACCTATCCCCAGATCACCAGACTAGTCAGTTTGAAAGGAGTATGTGTCTTTGTCTTTCATTAAACATAAAATGAAGTTATGATTTTTTTACCAAACTAATGGAATCATTTATGACTTTATATTTGATTCCTTTTTATTCTCAAAAGTTCATCACCAGAGTTCAACACACACAATTAGTGAAATATACCTCTTATTATTTTCTTGTTTCATAAAAACATATTAGTCAAGTTATATATTATATTATGTAATAGGAAAAGCATATTAGATTGCTATTTATCTTAATACATTATTAAACTGATTAATTGTATTAGACCTACATCACTGAAATATTCACATTTAATAATCTTTTTTTGGTATTTATTATTATCATTATTACTGTTATTTTATTTTTATTTTTTTGTACTGGGGATCGAACTAGGGTCCTTGTGCTTGTGAGGCAGGTGTCGGAACCACTGAGCTAAATCGCAGGCCCAAACGGTATTTTATTTTTCTTTTTTTCTTTTTGGTATGGGAGATTGAACTCAGGACCTTGCACTTGTAAGGCAGGTGGCAGCACCACTGAGCTAAAATCTCCAGCCTAATAATCATTTTAAAAGATGCATTGTATTATTTTTTACAGAAATTTTCAAAATGTATATTTAAATTTATTTGAATGGAAAAACAAAGTCATAACTGTCTGACAGAAAGTATGATTTGCTCAATTGGTTTGACAATAGGCTTTTGATAATTAGGTTATGGTGGACTTTTTCCATGAAAATCTATAGATCTAATATTGGGAGAAAAATATATATGTATGTGATGCGATAAAGTAATTTATAAAAAGTTGCATTGGCAAATGTATCCATTTATTTGAATTTAGAACACTAAATTTTCTCTACTTTTTCTTTCATATATAAAGTTAAGCAAAATGCCCTTGTGAAATAGTAACAGTAAAAATAATAGTGATATGATTTTTTACTTTCTAAGAAACTGAGAAAAGAACTTGCTTCAATGACTGTGCAAAAAAGTCAAGTGGTTTGTAATATTTTACTTTTAATAAAATCGATAGAGACCTAATATGTCATCCTATCATTAAAAGTAATTTTGGTTAATAGACACTATAATTCATATAGCATAGCTTTCACCGTTTAAAAGTTTGCAATTAATGGCTTTTAGTGTATTCACAGAGCTATGCAATCATCCCAACAAACAAGTTTAGAACACCTTTATCACCCTTGAAAGAAAAAATTCCTGGCACCCACGGTTCTCAACCTTTACTAATCTGATTTGTCTTTATAAATTCTGAATATTTCATATAAATGGAAATTTAGAATTTGTGGTCTTTAACACTGACTTATTTCACTCAGCACAGTGAAGATTCATCCATGTATAGCATTATTAATATTTCTTTTTATTGCTGAATAATATTGTTATATGGATATACTATATCTTATCAGTTGAACATTTGGATATTATTAATAATGCTTCTGTGCACATTCATGTTCAGTTTTTGTATGAATGGAAGTTTTCATTTTTCTTGGGTATATATCTAAAAATGGAATTGCTATGTTATATGGTAACATTGTTTTACCTGTGGAAGAAATTCCAGATTGTTTTCCAAAGAGGCTGCCCCATTTTATGTTCCCATCTGCAATAAGGAATGAGTTCCAATTTCTCCACATTCTTGCCAAGATTATCTAGCTTTTAAAATTTTATTATAGCCATCATCATACTGTACATTTATGTACTGTACATACTGAAGACACAGTAAACATCCCTTGGCCCAGGAGAAAGCCAGCGGACAAAACCAGGAGCAGGTAAAGTGTGGGTTCAAGTCTTGGGATGGGGCTTTAACTTGGGCCCTGGGCTAGCCTTTCAGTCATCTAATGAAAAACAGATTGACTCTAAAGCTCCCTCACAGACGTTTGTGAGATTCTCTGCACCACAATACACGAGGCAGTAGCCTGACACGGGGCAGCGATGCCCAGCTCAGCCAAAACCTGCCTTTCAGATCGTCGCGCTGGAGGCCAATCCGGGACCCGATCTGACCAAGGGCTACAGTGCCCTTTTGCTACCTAGGCCCAGAGCACAGAGAAGTGAGCGATAGGTCATTCCTGGGCAAAGAAGAGGAAGTGCCAATAAACTACAACTCCCAGGAGCCCGAGGAGCGCCACTCAGTGGCCTGACCTTGTGCCTGCTGGGAGCACCAGACGGCCTCCCAGTTACGCTTCATTGTTAAGACCGCCAAGCCAGGTAAACGGCGCGCGTGCCCAGTCACATCCGAACTAGCGCAGCTCCTTTCCTTCCCGCAGTCCTTTACCGGCGCGTAGTGCCCGCCCCACCTCCGCCCCTTTTTTCAGAGATTTTGGAGAGGGCGGAGCCTCAAGCGCGTTCCCAGAGGTGCGTGCCCGCATGTTCCTCAGTGATTTAAGAGGGAGGGAACTAAACATTGGGTGTGGAAAATAGGAACACGCATGCGTATTAGGTGTGCTGCCTCAGGCAGCAGCGGAGGGGCGGAGCGGAAGTGGGCTGTTGGGTTGACGCAGGCGTAAGGGTCGCCAGCTCCCCGCCTCCCGCTTCGGGTTTTCCCTTCTCCTTCCTCACTCTCCCGGAAGTGGAGCCGCCCTAGCGCTCACCCGCGGCCACCCTGCGGCAGGCCCCGCCCTTTCCCCGCCCCTGCTCCCCGCCCCCTCCTCTGGCGGTGTCGCCTGCTTGC